TGAGGAACTGATATTAAGGGCTAAAGTAGAAGGCAAAGGTTTTGAGAATGATGAGGGCAACAAATGTACATATGTGCTTGACAAAATGGATGTATGTATGGACCGTGATAAGAATTGTACGAGCCCCCAATAAAATAATTTTTTTTTTAAATCTGTGTGAAGAATCGGGAGAAAAACACACACCCACACACATTGTGGAACAACAGCTATCTGATATGGATTGTTGAGGGGACACAATTCAATCCATGGCAATTTGAGACCAGAGACTCAGATATTTGTCACTTCAGCACTGTTCACACTAGCCAAAAGGTAGAAGCAACCTCAATGTTCATGAATAGAAGGAATAAACAAAAGGTAGTTTATGCATCCAACAGAATACTATTCAGTCAGGAGGAGACATAAAGCCTTGATAAATGCTGACATATGGAAGGCGCTTAAAGACAATCACCAAAAAAACTTGTATGATCTCACTTATATAAAAAGACCAGAAGAGGCAGCCAAAGTTTATTAGTGGTTACCAAGTGCAATAGGGAGGAGGGAAGGTACTTATGGAGTTTTGTTTACAGTGATGGAAAAAATTACATCCGTTAAGGGTAAGTTGCATAGTCGATTATTCAAAGTACAGGCAATAAGTAGTACAGTCTCAGTCAATTAGCAAAAGTTGTGCAGTAAATATGTTTATACCATAAATATATTTATAATGACAACAAAAAGTATAGCTGCTGAGGATGCTTGTGTACAATCAAGCACCTCATGGAATTTGACACCTTGGTTTGGAAGTTTAGGGTCATGATTTCATGGGACATGGACATCCAAGTTAACTGGCTTAACAACATGCTTCTGTTCTACCTCCCTGAGTAGTAACTAGGGTCTTAAAAGTTTGCAAGTGACCATCGAAGGTGTGATACTTGATGTCTCCTTGCCTGCATCAACAAAAAGTCAAGTAAAGAAAGAGAGACTAACTGCCTCCTTTACTTTGAGACCAGACGAGCCAGAGGGCATCAGGCTACTATTCAAAGATGCTATAGAAGAATCCTGATCGAAAGGGGAAATCCAGAACAGAATTTCAAATTACCATGGAATCCAAGATTTTCTAGAGCCAAGAAAGCTAGAGGAACTTTTGAAACTAATACACTTAGATAATTTCTAAACTTTAAACCAAAAATAGTCCCTCAAGTCTTAAGCCAAACAATAATTTAGCTTAACCAGTAAAGAATATATGTCTTGAGCATTATACCCTTTTAAAACCTATCTATACAGGATCAAACTGGCAATAGCAACTCAAAAGACTACATAGGAACCTCAGAGGCGATGAGTGTTGGTGGGTACAGTGCAAAGAATGATTTGTGACTCTTCTAACCACAGTTTCTGTAACTCCCACACAACAACTTTTTCCTGATAAGTCTGGGTAAGAGGAAGTGGGAGAAGATAGAGGTAGGCTTCAGTTTTGAGTGTTTGTTCATAGGATTGTGACCGCCATTCAACCAAACTCACTACCCTCAAGTCAATGCCAACTCACAACAACCTTACAGGTCAAGGTAGAACTGCCCCGTGAGTTTCTGAGATTGTAACAGATTACAGGAGTAGAAAGTTTTCTCCCAAGAAGCCGCTGGTGATTTCGAACTGCTGACCTTTTGGATCGCAGTCCAACTCGTAACCACTATGCCACAAGGGTTCCTCCAAGTGCCATCCTGCTTGGTATAAAATGAGTCGTCTCAGAAGCACGAAGGGAGAATCTCACTACCAACAAGAGAGTAACATCCTTTGAACGCTGAGATCTCTATGTATGAACCTCCTTGATCCAGGAGAGAGTGGGACAATACAGCAGTGGCAGGGGAACACCAGCAGCAGCAGCATAATGAGGAGTCAGAGCAGAAAGCAAATCAGTGGACTCCCCAACCCACAGAACAAGTAAACCTGAGTGTTTGGAGGAAGGTGGTTGAGCTGGGGAAGAGGGTGCCTCTGGGCACTTAATTGGAGGAGCTGGGAGTTGAGTGTTTTCAGGTTGAAGCTGACAACTAAGTGGTATTCACTGTCAGTGGTAGCCCTAAAAATGCTTGTTACATGGCAAAGGTGAGGTCAAGAGACTGATGGCCAGAGAGAGGCCTGAATGCAGGCATAGCAGAGAAGAAACTGTCCTCACTGAACAACTGTATTCTGAGCATTTTTCATCTGTGTGACCTGTTAAGTCCCCTCGTACGCCTACTAACCATGATCACTGCCTGTGGGCTCTGTGTGGCCACTGCAATGAATGAAGAACTCAGCTGAAAAATAGAGTGCTGTGGGAGTGTGGTATCAGAAGACAGTATCAAGTGGGTAGAGGGTGGAGGCATATCTAGTCTTTGCCTATGGCAATTGGCCTTTAGAGACAGAGGTCAGACATGGCCCCGTGCCATTTCTTTTTCCTTACTGGGTGAAGAGAGAATTCAGAAAGGCATATTAAGGATGGTGGTGCAACTTGCAGAATGTAACTGATGTCAGTAAATTGTACATGTGTCAAACTTGCAGAATGTCTTGCTCTATATATTTTCTATAACAACAAAAAATGATTTAAATGTATTTGGGGAATCAATTAGGAAAATATGAAATATGAATGAGTTATTAGCAAATATTAAAGAATTCTTAAGTAACTTTGTTAGATGTACAGTAATTCTGGGACTATGCTTATATAGGAAAACATCCATATATTTTTAAAGATACATACTGAAGTTTTAAGAGGTAAAAGTTAGCTCTCTATAATTCACTTTCAAATATTTCAACAAATTAGAGTAAATGCAGCAGACTATTTCTAACTATTAAATATACGTAAAGAATTGGTGGTTATCATTAGGCTAATCTGCCGACTTTCCTCTATTTAAAATCTTTCCCAATAATAGTGAATAACACATAAAGAAATATAGTCAGAGTAAATTAGACATTGAGTCCCAAAAAGGGATTTTTATCAAAAGTATAGTCACATTATTTAGAAATTACAGACCAAAGTTCAAATAGTCTTCATGATTTAAGCTAATAATTCATGTCATAGACTAGCTTGCAGGACTAAAGCTTGCATTAATTTTATATAAATTGCCAAGAATTGTTTCTTTAAAAAAAGAATTGCTTCTTCCCATCTACCCTGTTAGCTCACTATTCTGCCTACCCCACTGCCGCTGCATCTATTCTAACACATAGTGAATCTATAGACAGAGTAGAACTGTTACTTTTGGGTTTTCAAGGCTGTAAATCTTTAAGGGAACAGAAAATCTCATCTTTCTCTCAAGGCACACCTAGTGAATTTGAACTACTGACCTTGCTGCTAATAAACCAGGAGTAATTCATTACACCAATAGGGCTCCATTTGTGTGGAGGATACAACAACATAATGATAAAGGAGGGGGGGAAGCAGCTTAGTTAACACTAAAGACATTCATCTTTGAAAACACTTGTCCTAACTGATCAGAAGTCTGCTAGATTATTTAGAGAATATTCAAACGTTTACTGAAGATGGCTTATAAATTATAATCAAATTTATAAATTAATAGAATTTCTATGACCTACACATCAGTCACTTTCCTCTAATAGGCTATTTTGCTAGGTAACTGGAACCGCTGAAGAAACTTGAATTCTTAGACCCAGTTCTAGTCCAATGTAGACATGAATTAACAGAACATTTACACACAAACAAGTAAAAAGAATTCTATGGTCTGTCCTATATGCTTAAGAAACACTGCAGCCTTTTTAGGAGCTCCTTCCACCACTTGTATACAAGGGTTACTGGAGACAAACAACTAGCATCCAGAAACAGGAACTTCCTCCATGTGGTTGACATAATCCAGGCTTCACAGGTCAACAAGGAGTTTAGATAAAATATCATCCATAAGAGTTCAAGATAAAGACATAACTATGTATACCGCATTCACACAGGAATCACTGGTGCTACGTAATTTCACCTAATGTGCATATCTTAAATACCTTTAAATGCCACCCAGGACTAGCACTTCTGACAAACATTATACAAATCAATAAAATACTTGTTTGACGGGTAAAAATCCATTTTTTATATCCAATATACTAAAGGATTACATATGAATGGAGTTAAGAGGTTGGGGGTTGCAGCATGGATTATTGGCATATTACATGAGGGGGCAACCCAAAAAAAACGGATTTTCTTTTTTTAAAGCAATGTATTTAAATTTTTTCACAAAACAACCTTATCACCTCCAAAGTACTCTTCATTACAATTAATACATTTGTCAAATCTGCGATTCCATTCTTGGAAACATTTTTCAAACTGATCTGTTTGGATGGCTGAAAGCACCTCCCTCGTTTCTTCTTCACCTCTCCTCCATCATTAAATCACGGTCCTTTCATGTCCCTCTTCATTTGCAGAAAAAAAAGAAGTCCCACAGAGTGAGGTAAGGTGAGTAAGGTATATAGGGCAAGAGAGCACGCTGGGGTTTTGTTTGGTTTTTTTTGCCAAAAACTAGAACGTTGAAAGGGTTACATGAGCATGTGCATTATTGTGGTAGCAAAACCAGTCCCCCGTCTGCCACAAATCAGCCCTTATTTTGTCACACACTGTTATGCTATCTTTTCAGAACTGCTAAATCAACAGTTCTCAACCTGTGGGTCGTGACCCCTTTGGGGGCCTAAGGACCCTTTCACAGGGTCACCAGATTCATAACAGTAGCAAAATTACAGTTATGAAATAGCAACGAAAATAATTTTATGGGTGGGGGGGGGGTCACCACAACATGAGGAAATGTATTAAAGGGTCACGGCATTAAGAAGGTTGAGAGCCACTGCTCTAAATAGAAAGCTTGATTAACAGTCTGACCTGGTGGAACAAACTCCAAATACTCTATGAGTGGGCATTTTGATCCATTTGGGAAACTGATGGAGATCAAAAACAAGATCCATCGGCATTTCACCATTTTTGAAACTAGAAAACAACTCGTATACTTGAGAATTGCCTATAGTGCTGTCCTTGTAAGCTGTGTTCAGCATCACAAAGTTTCTGTGACATTCTTAAATCAGTCATCACAAGTTCGAGCAAAACAAAAAAATTCACTGCAACCAGAGAGAACTTTCCCAGGCAATGCCACTGGGTGTACTAACCAGAGCGGGTTGTTCTTTCCCATTTTGGGGGGTGGTGGTTTGCTCTACTGTATGAAAGATCACTATAAATTGGATCTAACACTAGCAGCAGCAAGGCAATAATTTTTAAATGGATATATTTAAGAGAACAACAAAGATAGAAATTGCCTTTTAAAACAAAGGTCAATGAAACTAAAGGAAAGAAATGTAAGGTTCACTTCATTTTTCTTTGATTAATGATGGCACTATACTTACTGCAATTTATTATAAATCATGATACTACTATGTGCCAACTTGATAACGCCATGATCCTCAGGCACATGGCAGGTATTTTGCAATTACCGTCCATTCTGTGATCGGACATGAACAGTCAATTAGTTGAAAGGGCATTTCTGTGAGGGTGTGACCCAAATCTAATATATATATATATATATGTGTGTATATATATATCAATAGATAGATTCGGGCAAAACCTGTTCTCTCGATCCTACATCCATTTTGTCATCCTCTGACCTCCAGTACTTGGGATGGGAACCAACAGCCTGCCACCTGACCAGCAGATTTTGGATTTGCCAGTTCCTGCAGCATTGTGAGCCATAAGCCTATCTCTTGACTGACAGATTGGGGGGCTATCCTCTCCTGAAACCACATGAGTGAGAAGATACCAACCTATTGAGTGACTTAGGAATTCTGGACTTGCCAGCCTAAACAACTGCCTAAAACTAAACAAATAAATTAGATAGAGCGATAGATCAATAGATAGATAGATATAGGTAGGTACGTAGGTAGCCAGATAGATACACATTTATACAGATACTTCCCTTGTTTTATTCCTATACAGAACTCAATCTAAATTAATCATTTCATATGGAATTAAATTGATCAAATGACCCTTTAAATATAAAGATATTAAGTTGCTCAATACATACCACTCACAAGGCTGAAGGGATCGAAATGCCTTAAAAGAAGCATCCATTCCAGCAAAATCCCAAAACTTAACATCATAGTCATATCCTCCAGTCACCAAACGGGCACCTGAGGGATCTAGACCCAAAGCAGACACCTGGCAGGGAAGGTAAAAAAAGGCACAGTAATTAATTGGACAAGAGCTACTTTAGTCTACACACCCATCTCGTTTCTTTAGCCCACTACCTGATCTTATAGGCACTGGAAACAATAAGTAGACCACTTACTGTTGTTACTTCTGAAAAGTTCAATATAATTTGACTTTTTTATTATAAGAGTAATTTCTCTTATGAACACCCAATTTGTAGATGGCCAGGGAGGGGAGTGGAGCCTAAAACAAATCCGCAGAGTATCTAGTCAGAGTAAGCTGCTGGCAGAACCCCTCTAGGCACGGGCAAGGATCTTGAACAGCCTTACTATCAGACAATGATCACTGTAATCTTGATTATGCAGAACTGAACTTGATACTTGGTCAACTGAACCAACCTAAATTTGTTCTCGGTTCAAGTATACCTTGTTTGTTCCATGATAAAAATTTCTTCCCTGGTTTTTAAAATATTGATGGTGGTTTTCTCTTTCTTACTCATTATTTGTATCTTTTTCTTTATATTATTATTAATATATCCTTATCACTTTTGTTTGTTTTTTATTGTTTCTGTTGGGTTTCCCAGAAGGAGTAAATACAGAGAGATAATAACTGAGGCAAGGGTTTAAGATTGAGAGGGGTGAGGGAGCTTGGGGGAATAGACCATAAAGTGGGGGGAAGGAGGGAGTACTAGAACCGACACTGATTATACAACTCATTTTAAAGGCTATCTAACCATTAATAAAAGAAAACATTCTAAAATTAGTGTGGCAATGACTGTATAATTTCTTATTGATATGACTGAACTATTGAACTGTATGGTGTGAATTCTGTGCCAATAAAACTGAGTTGATTCTGTGGCAAAAAAATTACTTCTTTTGTAATAAAGAAAAAAAACCATTTTTTTCATTATCAGCCCACCACCACCACCATCACCACCACCAATTTATCAACCATGTATGCAGAATAAGTTTATATGTATATGATAAGCTAGACATTTTTTCTTCAGGTTATCTCACAAATCATTTATCTCACAAATAGGTTATGTCACAAACAGTTTAGCTTTTTCAGTGAACAATCTGGAGGAAACCTTTTAAGGTAGTGCAATGATAACTGAATGGAGACAATATAAACAAAATTCAAATAAGGAACCCCAATAAGGAGCTATAAGAATCTATTATTTAATCAAGTAAACATTTTTCTCTTGTGCAGATGTCTGACTCAAGGCTGAATTTATGGCTAACCATTTTGTAATAGCGCTTATATTGGTCGCATAAAATATTTTCTTTTCCTGTGAACTTTCCTCGGGCCAATTCACATGTGAATACCCGATCTGTAACTCACTGTTCTTTCGCTCCATTTACCATTCTGTCAAAACAGGAAGTTCCTGGATATATTGCTCTCTAGAAGAACTGCAGGACTACATAACGTGATGACCATTTATACGAGATAATAAAAGAATCCAAATTTTATACAAAAGAAATCATTATAAATAAGTTATCTTACTAAGCAGACTTAAATGTAATGAAATGCAATATAATAAATATAATTAAAACTATATATTGACAAAATCAATCTATACTCATTGCAATTACACAAAAACCAGCAAAAGCCAAACCATGTAGAGCAGAAACCGGTCAGAAAAGGAAAGCTCAAATATCTCCCACTAATCTAGAG